ATTAAGAAGCAAAATGGACAAAGGGTACAAATAGATAATTTTCAGAAAGATACAAATGGCCCTGTAAGGACATGAAAAGAGCCAAGTATGGTGGTTCATACCTACAATCCCAGCACTTAGGAGGCTGAGACCAGCTTGGAACACACAGTGAGATGCAATCTTAAAACATCAAAAGAAAAAAAGATATGAAAAGATGCTCACTTAGGGGGAAAACAAAAAAATTTAATTCTACTATGAGACATTTCTCCTTACCTGAGAGACAGAAAAATATCTAGAAGTTTGAAAATACACTCTGCAATACCAATGGAAGTGTAAAATGTTAAAACTTTTATGGAAGGGTATTTAGCAAAATTAGAGATGGCAAAAGTACAGATTCAGCAAACTCCCTACAAGTTTTTTCTATGCAAGTAGAAAATGCCAGATGTGCACGCTATACCCTGAAGTATCATTTTCTTCTGAAAAGATTAGAAACAACCCCTGATCCAGAAGTACGGAGCCAGTTAAGTACATAATGGAATGGAGTACTACACAGGAATGGTAGTACTAGGTCAACAAAGATCTTTATGAACTGATAAGGAGTTCACATGTTATGTTCTGTTATAATCACATGCTATATTATGTCAAAATCATATACTGTCAAAACACCACACAAAATATGATTACTTTTTAGGGGTGAAATCACAATATTATAGTGAAGGGATCATGCTGCCATCCACACAATCTAATCTTATTATTAAGAATAATCAGACAATAGGTTTCTCCTATGATATTATGTGAAATATACAGTAACACCCATGGAATATTCCAGCTCAAAATGTTTAACTCCAATCTATCAAGACTTTATATTCTAACTTCCTACTTACTAGAATTCAACAGAAGAAAGAATAAGCTGAAATATACTACAAGGACACAATTAAAGTTTTCTTGGATTAGACAAACTATTAGTAAAGGTTAATTTGTGACCTTTAGTGAAATCTGAACATGGACTTACTTGGCAGATGGCCACAAATTCTTCGCAGTTCCCCTCATCAAGATGTGAATCTAGGCTGGCTGTGTATTGACAGGGAAGCTGTGTTCCAGCACCAGCCTCAGGAGGCCTTGTGACCTATACCTTTGCCCTCTTTTGCCATCTTCATGAACTTCCCTCAGACTGCCAGGCTATGAAGAGCCAATCTACTCTACTGAAGGATGAGGGGCCATGTGGAAGAGAAGCAAGTGGTCCAGCCAACAGCAGCACCAATTGCCAGACATGAGAGTGAAACTACCTTGGTCCTTGAAGCTCAGCTAACTCTCTAGCTGCACGTTTGGTGAGCCAAACCAGCAGGGAACTGCTCAGCCAATCTCCAAGGAAAAAAATCATTGCTTAAGCTATTACATTTTAGGTGGTTTGAATACATCTCTAAAAAGTTTTTGCAATTAGTATTAAATAAAATGAAAATTTTATTTATTTAGACATCATTAACTGAAAAAAAAACACTAGTTACAAATAATATGAAGATACTCTTGTTATGATAGAACATAAATGCATACTGACAAAAAGATCTGGTAGGATATATACTAAGTATTAACAAAGAGATATATACAGATGCTTGGCTTAAGACAGGGTTTTGTCCTGATAAACTCATTGTAAGTTGGAAGTACAACTAATATACCTAATATACTAAACATCATAGCTTAGCAACACAGTGCACTATAACAGAGTCTTGGTTGTTGACTTTGGTGATCTCATGGCTGCTTAGGGATGCAGCTCACTGCCACTGCCCACATTGCAAGAGAAGACCAGACCACATATTGCTAGTCCAGGAAAAGCTAAAAATTGAAAATTTTTTGACTGAGGGTGTGGCTCAAATGGTAGAGTGCTTGCCTAGCAAGTGTGGAGGCCCTGAGTTCAATCCTCAGTACTGAAAAAAAAAAACCAAAAAACTGAAGTACGATTTCTATGGAATGCATATTGCTCTTGTACCATCCTAAAGTTGAAAAATGGTAAGTCAAATAAGGTTCAGTCAGGGAGTATCTGTAGTAAGGTAAGCTCTAGGAAATACAAATGTTTTCATTTTTTTATTTCTATATCTTCTGCATGCATATATGGCTCCCTTTGCAGTAATGGAACTTTTTAAATCTGCATTCTCTTTTTTTAAAGGTCCATAGTGATTATTTAGTCATTAGAAAAAAAGGTCAGCCAGGTCTCTGAAGAGTGAGACATATAAATTCTTGCTATAACCTCACAAAAACACCAGATAAGGTCAATCACAAATAAACCTTTAGGGACTGTTATGGGCTGAACTGTACCTTCTCAAAGATCATATGTTGAAGTCAATCCCTAATTCCTCAGAACATGAATGCATACATACAGGAAGAGGACTGGGGCACAAAAAGAGATACCAGGGGCACATGCGCACAGAGGAGCGACTACATGAAGAGCAGTGAAGGCAACCATCTACAAGTCAACAAGGGACCTTAGAGGAAGCCAACTCTGCTAGCACCTTGATGCTGGACCTTCAAGCCTCTAGGTCACTGTCATTTAAGCCACCTATCCTATATTCTGTTATGGCAGCCCTAGCAGACCACCATAGGGACTAAGTGTGTAGCACAGTGTGAAAAACTAACCTTGTGTGCACTAGAGCACTGCAAATAGTAACTTAACCATAAAAACAGTTTATCATAAAGTTCTGTTCTAAATTTGTAAAGTTTTCATCTTTAAGGTCAACTAAAACTGCTGTAAACTGTATGTACAAAGAGTAACTGAGTCAAGAATGGACTGAATGGCAGGTTTCTTAATGTACCACCACTTATGGAATAAAAGTTTTATGTAGTCCACATTCCACTCTTGACTTGGTACAAGAAATGGGTTTCCTTGTTTTATTTGTAGTTGATTTCTGAGCACTGCCCAAGAGCAAAAATAATGGTGAGTCAATAACTAAAAAGCAGCATGATTAGGACTACTGTTTTTTTTTTTTTTTTAAGGTACAGAGGTTTGAACTCAAGGCCCTACACTTGGTAGGTAAGCACTCTGGACACCCCTAGCCCTAAGGGCTATTGGTTTTTAATCAAAACTAAATAAATCTATTTTTAAATTAAAAACATGACCTATAAAAATGGCAGCACTTACAATAAGCAAAAGAATGAAAAAAGGGGAGTGAAAAAAAAAGAGAGGAGAGGAGGGAAAGAGGGATGTAATGAAAGAGAAAGACTGTGAAAACAAGAGGGAGGCTGTGGTATAATAATGAACCTGGGTTCTCACCTGCTTCTGGCTGATATGATCTTAACATGATTTAGCTTTATGAATTTATTGTAAAGGGAGAAGTTTGAACAAGAGTCAAACTTCAAACAGTCCCTAGGATCCCCCAAGGTTTCCTTGGAAATTCTTGCAGGGTAAAGACTAGAAATAAACTCAGAAGGCCCAGACTCAAGCAGAGCTGCTCATTTACATTTGTTTTCCATTTGCATTTCTATGTTTTCACTTGAGGGAAGAGTTCTGCTGCTAAAATGCTAGAACCCACTGTATTAAAATGCTCTGTCCCTAGAAATACATTTTAAAAAATCAATAGTTAATATGTCAGGCACATGTAGAAAGCAGAATGAAGGGACAAAAGATGCTGACTCACTGGAACAAAAGGAAGATGGTAACATTAATGAGGACTCAGACAGGGCTAGAAAGATTGTGCCCTACACATATGAAAGATTAAGGGTTGTTAGTTATCAATAATCATTGCACAATTAGCCTGACATGTAACTTCATGGCTGAAAAAGTGAATACAAATAAAAATATAATTTCCAAAATAGATCATCCAATAAAATTGCCAAATATATATTTTTTAAAAAACTACTTGTGGGCTGGAGGTGAGGCTCAAGTGATAGAACACCTACCTTGCAAGTGTAGCCCTGAGTTCAAACCCCAGTACCACCAAAAACCAAAAAAAAAAAACCCCAAAACAAAAACCTGTTTGTACTATCACTAATCAAAGAATACAGGAAGCACTTTTTGGCTAACAGAAGACTTAAGAATGAGTCAGACTTCAGCACCAATCTTAATTTTCAAGCCTACACAAGATATGTAACTTCAAGACATGCAGTTTGAAGAACTTTCAAAATAGCTAATGAGAGGATCTTACAATGCTGTGAGGGTCCATGACACTATGGAAAACTCCTAGTATAATGGCAGATGTACTCTATAGGCACTCAAGAAATAGATAATGCTTCCAGAGCACCACATGAAAATTCTATTTCATTTACTCCTCACCACAGTTCTAGGAGGGAATTGTAACACATACGTGCAAATTAACACAGCGTGGGACCAAAATGGTAACATGAAACATTCACTGATGGCTAAGTACAATATTAGAAGCACTGCCATTTACCTTTAGTCAGACCAGAAAAATGGTACAACTTTTCTGCAAAGCACTTTGGTCATGTGTGCTGAGGGCTTCCCAAAGATCATAAACAATGGTCCAAGTGAGACAGGAATGGATTCGGAAAGTGCCATAGGAAATGGGAGGGACCAAAGGGTTGAGTTATTAGTGACTACTCCCTTTACATACATGTTTGCCACTAGGAAATGCAAAGCATCTGTAAGAATGGAACACTTTTCTCTCTTTCTCATGCTTCCCATTTCTGGTTTCCATGAATGTTTCCTGTCAGCCCAAACCTGTATATGCTAAGAACACCTAAAGCACAAGTCATGGACCACTGCACCATTCAGCTCCTCCCACTGCATAGAAGCACACTGCCCAGACAGGGAGGATGCTCCTAATGATACAGCTGGTTCCTAAGATTAACAATGCAGTGTGGAATATGGAATGTGGAATATAAATTTCTTCATGCTGGGAAGTCTCAAATTGACAGCAGTGCATGATGTTCAAGGAAATGCCACCATAAGGACAATAAGAGTCAAAATATTTCATTTCCTCTAAGTCCAAAGTATGTTGTCCTTTAAGTGAGTTACAAATCAACAACCAAGGAAAAATGTTCTCATAAAAACTACAACAACAACTGACACTTACCTAAAATGAGATGAAGTTTGGTTTCTGTCTGGAAAGCATAGTGCAATGTCACCAAAAATGGCGACTGCCTAATGTGCTCCAGGACTTGTCGTTCTGTCCTCGTATGCTCTGTGGTTTTGGCCTTTTGAACTATGGTTGCCTTTTTCAAAACCTTCATGGCATACAGCTTTCCAGTATCATGACCACTTATTTTGCGAACCAGAAATACTTTTCCATAAGCTGAAAATAAAAAGAAAAAAAAAGAATTAAAATACTATATCAGCAGAGTGGCAATTTATGGAAACAAATTTACTTAATGGGCACATGCACATGTGTGCATGCACACACCACACACACACACACTTTAAAGGAAAAAGTATCCTTGGTGCTGGTTCAAACAGTTCTTTGATAGATTTCTTTAGTTCATTACCAAGTATATTTCTAGGTCTAGCCCTCAATATTTACATATCTAGCCTCAGCTGACAGACAGACTTTTACTCTGTTACTCTCTCTTCAATATTTTTAGCTGTAAGAATCTAACTGTTGTTATGGTCAGCTAACCACAGTCCAACTCTGGAACAACTAGAACATTTTAGACATTAGATTAAAACCTCTAGTTGTATACAGCTGCTACTGATATAGATGAGGTCTCATAAATCAAGTTCAAAGTACCTCAAGTATTCCTCCATGCTTATTTTTAAAAACACAAAGCAATATAAACTGACATTTTATAAACAAAAGAGATCCTTAGATGTAACAACATTAAAGACACTGAACTGCAAGTAATATAGACAGGAGCTCCTTTACATCTCTGAGCAGTAATTCATGGCTTACTGGATCAACATTGGCACTTTTCTTAAGGATTCTGCTGGGCACAATCCTGTCTGTGGTGCCAATTCTCCAGGTTGGAGGAATGGGGCCATGTAGACACTGTACCTTACTGGGAAGAACAACTTGTCTGCATTTATTTGGCAGAGCAGGGGGGAGGGGAGGTTTAAAAACAAAAAAAAACAAACATTTTAAGAAGGAAGAAGTAGGTCCCTTGAAAACTGCAAATGCCTCTTGGAATAGTTAAGCCCAGTTCCACTTTTTAAACGTTAAATGCTTTAAACTGAACACTTTTGAGTTAGTCTGAGTTTTGACTCAGATGACTGTTTTCACACACTCTGTTCACACCTCTAGAAATATTCAGTACATTATTCTATTATAATCCACCCACTAGAATGAGAGATCTTTATGGGAAGGGCCCTTGTACTCTGTATGTTATACACCTCCGTAGTTTAGGCACTAAATTAATAACAGACACGTGCTATACCATGGATCAGTGCTAATTCTGAGGAGAACAGCCAACCCTTGATAAGGAATTGCCAGTGCCAGGCTCCATGCTAACCCCCTCTATATATAGATTTCCTTAATCCTCACCATAGCCAATGAAGTTGGTACTTTTAGTAAGTCCATTTTACAGTTGAAGAAATGAATTCTCAGAATGGTTAAGGAACTGGCCAAAAGACTGGTCATGAAATGGCAGAACTGACTCAACTATAGGCAGGGTGACTCCAAGGACCACACTCTTAGCTCTAAATGAATTTATAAAAATCCCTCATGAATGCTAGAAACCTGATATTATGAATTTAAATATAACCAGTACTGTAAACATACTGAATACACTCTGGAGCACAGAAAAATTCACAAAGATATATGTTTTATTCTAAATGTGTAATAATTACAATTTGAGATCCTAGGAAGGAGGAAGTGAACCAACAAAGAAAATGACAACTTTCAGAACCTAATAAACCAACTTAAAAAATAAAAATGAAAAAGCTAGAAGGTATTCTAATGATGTCTATGAGGAAGACAGTATAGTCCTCTACAGGCAGGCTTGGAGCTCTCCTGTTCTTATATACACAAGGCATGTAGCCTAAACTTCTGATCTCCCAGAACACTATGGTCCAGAATGCTATGGTCCTACAAATTAAGGACTCCTTCTATCCTATCAAACACAAGAATCTTTCTACACCCTCACTGAAACATGGCTGTTCAGCTTTGTCCTAGTACTCCAGGTTTGCCTGTCATCACAGGTGTTGATCATGTGACAGATTGCTGGGCGTTAGCATCTAACATTGAAGAACTTTTAAAGCACTTTAGATATATATATTCATTCATTTCATTTTTAGAACAGTCTTATAAAAGGGTGGAATGATAATCCATTTTGTAGATAAAGAAACTAAGTGTAGAAGAAATGGTCAATTGCTCAGGATCACACTTGCCACACAGCCTGACTGCTGAGTACACACTCTTACCAGTGCTCCAGCTGCTGCCCCTAAGTAAATGACCTCATCAGAAAACAAATAAGGATCCAAACATCAAACAGAAGTCACAGTGCAGGTGAGTTCTTTTAGCAGTGGAATGTACCCAGTGCTACTAATTATAAGATAAAGACGTTTTATAAATTCTCCCAAAATTAATGAACCAATAAAGAAATAGACAAATGAACTAAACAGAACTGTCTCAAAAGAAGAAATTCAAATGGCCAAAAAACACATGAAAAAATGCTCACCATCTCTAGCCATAAAGGAAATGCAAATTAAAACCACACTAAGATTCCACCTCACCCCTGTTAGAATAGCCATCATTAGCAACACCACTAACAACAGGTGTTGGGGAGGATGTGAGGGGGGAGGAAGGAACTCTTTTACACTGCTGATGGGAAAGCAAACTAGTACAACCACTCTGGAAAAGTCTGGAGGCTTCTTAAAAATCTAAACATAGATCTACCATATGATCCAGCAATACCACTCTTGGGGATATACCCAAAAGAATGTGACACAGGTTACTCCAGAGGCACTTTGGACACCCATGTTTATTGTGCCACTATTCACAATAGCCAAGTTATGGAAACAGCCAAGATGCCCCACTACTGACGAATGGATTTTAAAAATGTGGTATTTTTACACAATGGAATTTTATGCAGCCATGAAGAAGAATGAAATCTTATCATTCGCAAGTAAATGGATGGAACTGGAGAACATCATTCTGAGCGAGGTTAGCCTGGCCCAAAAGACCAAAAATCGTATGTTCTCCCTCATATGCAGACATTAGATCAAGGGTAAACACAACAAGGACACTGGACTCTGATCACACGATAAAGCGAGAGCACACAAGGGAGGTACGAGGATAGGTAAGACACCTAAAAAACTAGATAGCATTTGTTGCCCTCAATGCAGAGAAACTAAAGCAGAAACTTTACATTGACAGAGACCAACAGGAGAAGGGTACCAGGAACTAGAGAAAAGGTTAATTCGAGAAGAATTAATTTAGAAAGTAACACACATGTATAGGAAAGCAATGCATGTCAACTCCCTGTATACCTATCCTTATCTCAACTAGCAAAAACCCTTGGTCCTTCCTATTATTGCTTATACTCTCTCTTCAACAAAATCAGAGATAAGGGCAAAATAGTTTCTGCCTGGTAGCGAGGAGGGGAGGGGGGAGGAAGAGGGGGAGAGGAGGAAGGGGGAGGGGGTGGGGGGGAGGAAGGGAGGGGACAGGGGAAGGGAGGAGAAATGACCCAAACACTGTATGCACATATGAATAAAAGGAAAAAAAAGTTTTGCAAAGTAGCCCATTTTACTGAAGAGGGACTCTAAATGGTAGAAAACATTCTTTATATTAAGTGGCAACAGGATGACTTTTAATGTCCATCCGTTGGTCCTTCTATGCCCTCTGGATTTATAAAAAGAAATGTTTACTTTTCTCTAAGATAATTTTGAAAAATATTTTTTGAAAGAACCAGGCATTGGTAGCTTGCATCTGTAATCCTAGCTACTTGGGGGCTGAAATCAGGAAGATTGAGGTTTTAGACCAGCCTTGAAAACTAGTTTGCAAGACCCCATCTCCACAATAACCAAAGCACAATGGACTTAGAGGTGTGGCTCAAGCAAAAGAGTGCCTGCTTTGCAAGTGCAAAGCCCTGAATTCAAAGCCCAGTCCCACTGAAAAAGAAAAAAAATTTAAAAATCATCATGCCATCTCCTTACTCTTTAAGCCAATTTTAAATTAATATGTCTTAGAGATCTCTCACCACTAAAAGGAGTTCATTGATATGTTCCATGGGTTTGTAATTTTTTTTTCATTGCTTTCTTGTTTTGCTTTTAAATGTATCTTACTTCAAATAAGCATGAACACAGGATGTTAATGTTTTTGATTGATCAAATAATACAAAATCATCCTTATTACCATACTAACTTTACATGGTCAAGTACTAAAGAGTCATTCTCCTTCTCAAGTGATGAAGTTCAAAAGTCTCCCAATAATACAAATTAAAGACCACATACCCTGTCAATATAATTATATTCATCTATCAGAAGATGTCAGGGAAAACCATGATAAAGTTCACAAATCTGTTGGTTTTACTTGTATAATTGCCATGATTAAACATGATTAACACCAAAGCTATAGTACTTCTATCACATGATAAATGCTTATTTATGTCATTAAAATTCAAGGGATGCCTCACAAATTTCCAAACAACACATTTCAGACAAAGCTCTTACTTAGGTGTAGGTTGCATAACTGTTAAACATAGATGCTTCCAAATAGCCTTGGTTCTGAAGTACCCATGAAGCTGCTAATCAAATTGTTAACAGGGGAGAAAACACCTTGAAGAAGACCCCTCACCTTATTAAGCTGGGTGTATAGCTCGAGTACAGGGAGAAAGTGAAATAGTCCTTTTGAGGACTGCCATTTTAATATTTTCAAGAGAGGCCACTGAAAGTGGAATTGACAGCAACTTTATTTCCTTCTAGTTTGCACCTAAATGAGTGACTGTTTCAAGTGGAGCCAACTTCCACTTTCACTCATTACATATGTGTTGTTATTTTGAAAACATCTTTTGGAAACTGCAAAGGCTACTGGGGGTGAAAACTCTTTTGGCCAAAAAAGATAAAAAGCATTTACTGCTTGAATGAAGACCTTAAGATGGACGCCTACCTGCACACCTGGATTTGCTACATATGTGAAAACACTGGCTACATGCCTTGTTGTGACACTCTGATTTTTATATTAAATGTTTTACCAGCAATCTTCATAGAAGCCTTGTCTATTGCTGTGAATCTTATTACCGTCATCAGCCTTTTCAAGATATTCTGTTCAGAGTTTTTACAGAACAAGTTTTGTGAGCTTGACTGAACTTGGGGTAGATGTTCTACTTATTTTGAGACTAAGGAAAAGTATGTTC